TGGCAAACAGAATACAAAGGGTCATCAAGAAGATCATATACCCTGACCAAGTCGGATTTATCCCAGGGATGCAAGGATGGTTCAACATTCGTAAATCAATAAACATAATACACTATATTAACAGAACCAAGGACAAAAACCACATGATCATCTCAATAGATGCAGAAAAGGCATTCGACAAAATCCAACACCCATTCATGATAAAAATCCTACAGAAAATTGGAATAGAAGGTCTTTTATCTCAACTTGATTAAGGCTACCTATGAAAAACCAACAGCCAACATCATACTAAATGGTCAAATACTGAAAACTTTCACACTAAAATCAGGAACAAGACAAGGATGCCCACTATCACCACTCCTGTTTAATATTGGTCTCGAAACATTAGCCACAGCAAATAGAAAAGAGAAAGACATAAAAGGAATAAAAATAGGAAAGGAAGAAATTAAACTGTTATTATTTGCTGATGATATGATACTTTACATAAAAGACCCAAATTACACCACCAAAAGACTTCTAGACTTAATAGACAGATTCGGTAGAGTAGCTGGATATAAGGTCAACACTCAAAAAACAATAGCCTTTTTATATACAAATAACAGACTCACTGAGAGAGAAATTAGGGAAACAATTCCTTTTACAGTAGCATCCAAAAACATGAAATATCTAGGAGTCAATCTAACAAAGGAAACAAAAGACCTCTACACAAATCTATAGCACTCTGAAAAAGGAGACTGAGGATATAAGAAAATGGAAAGACATCCCTTGTTCCTGGATAGGAAGAACCAATACAGTGAAAATGGCCACACTTCCAAAACTATTATATAGGTTTAATGCAATGCCAATTGAAATTCAAACAATATATTTCACTGAACTAGAGAAAACAATCCAAAAATTCATTTGAAACCAGAAGAGACCTAGAATAGCAAAGGAAATTTTAGGCAGCAGAGATATGCCTAGGCGTATTACAATCCCCAAGTTGAAACTATACTACAAAGCTACTGTGATAAAAACAGCATGATACTGGCAGAGAAACAGACCCGAGGATCAGTGGAATAGATTAGAAGATGCAGAAACAACTACACATATGCTCACCCACCTCATCTTTGACAAAGGAGCCAATCATCCTCATTGGAAGAAAGATAGCCTATTTAATAAATGGTGTTGGAAAAACTGGATTTCAACCTGTCAAAGATTAAAACTAGACCCATACCTACCACCATGCACTAAATTAAGATCAAAGTGGATTAAAGATTTAAATATCAAGACAGAAACACTCAATTTGCTGGAAGATAAGTTAGGTAGAACTCTTGAAGACATTGGTATAGGAAAAGACTTTATGAACAAAATCTCAATAGCACAGGAACTTGCACAAAGACTCAACAATTGGGATCTCATCGTATTAAAAAGCTTCTGCACTGCAAGAGAAACCACCAACAAAGCTAAGAGACAACCTACATGGGAAAAAATGTTCAGCAATTGTACCTTAGCCAAAGGACTACTATCTAGAATATATAAAGAAATGAAAAAAATCAGTCCCCCAAATTCAAAGACCCAATTCAAAAATGGGCGTCTGAAATGAACAGACATTTCTCAGACGAAGAGGTAAAAGCAGCAAATAAATATATGAAAAAATGTTCAACATCACTGGTCATTCGAGAGATGCAGATGAAAACAACACTGAGATTCCACCTCACCCCAGAAAGAATGGCTGCTATCATGAAATCTACCAATAACAAATGCTGGTGGGGGTGTGGGGAGAAAAGAACCCTTCTACATTGTTGATGGGAGTGCAGACTGGTGCAACCACCGTGGAAATCAGTATGGAGATACCTCAAAGAACTAGGACTGGAGGTCCCATTTGACCCAGCTATTCCCCTGCTGGGGATCTTCCCCAAAGAATTAAAAGAATCATACCACAGTGATATATGTGCACCCATGTTCATAGTGGCACAGTTTGTAATAGCTAAAGCTTGGAAACAGCCCAAGTGCCCATCAACTGGCGAGTGGATAAAGATGTGGTTTTTTTATAAAATGGAGTATTACTCAGCCATAAAGAACCAAAAACTAGAGACATTTATAACTAAATGGATGTATATTGAGGCCATCCTCTTAAGTGAAATACATAGTACACACATGTGTAAATACCAAATAGTTTCTCTAGTGTAAGAAACTGAAAGTGTAATTAAGGATGCACACGGATGAAATGGCCTAATAATATATTTCTCGCATTGTGTTTCCATCGCATGTCATATGACTGTTTCGAAATTTAAATTAGGGAGAAGTTGGGCTTATATGGAGTCTGCTAGCTAACTGGGTTTTTTTTCCAGACCACTATTTGTTCAATGTTGGTTTTGGAGACCTTTCTGAAACAAATCACATCCTCTGGTATCTTGCTGGTGCTTGTGATGCTTTTTTAAGTTATATGGAAAAATGTTTGAGTGGTTTTCAGTTTTATTTCGGTTGAGTTCTACTGTATTTGGATATTATTGTAGTTTTCTTTCCCTTGCATTGTTCTTCTTTGAATAGTTTTAATTTTTGTATGTGTGCGTTTGATAATAAAGTTATTAAAAAAAAAAAAGATAGCGCTGGGAATATGGCTCCATGCAAAGGCCCTGAGTTCAATCTCCACTACTAAAAAAATAGATAAAAATCAAGAATGGCAAGGCAGAAATATAAACCACCAAGAAACAAAAGAAACAAAACAAATGAAATTATAATATTAATTTGAAAAGTAAAATTAAAAGTCTATAGTAACAGTCTTTGGTAAAACTCTCATGAATGTGTGTTATGTCTTATTCATCTTTACAATTCAATTCATCTTCAACCTAGCACCACAGTTGAATTACTTGCTAAAAGATGAAATATGCCCATTTCCTATATATAATAAAATTGCTTGCATTGTCAAGATAATTAAAATTTGACATGGAAGCAGCAGGTAGTTGAGTAAAGAAAGTATATTAACAAATGTACAACAATAAATAGATATTGAAAAGTTTAGGTTGCACTACTGTGCAACTATCCATTATATGTAACCCTATAAAATTACATGAATTCTAATGGTAAAGGAAACCAAAGTTCTTTTTATAAAAATGTTAAATTCTCTGATGACTTCGAAGACAATCTAAGCCAGGCACGGTGGCAGAGGCTTGTATTCCCAGCACTAGGGAGGCTGAGGCAGGAGGATCACTGTGAGTTTCAAGTCAGCCTAGGCCACACAGTGAGTTCAGTTTAAACTACATAGCGAGATCCTGTTTCAAAAAACAACAACAACAACAACAACAACAACAAAATACAAATAACAAAACTGGGATGGAGGATTTAGCTCAGTGGTTATGCTGGTTGTCTTGAAAGCGCAAGGACCTGAGTTTGATCCCCGATACCAAAAAAAATAAATAAATAAGAAAAGAAATAACAAAACTGAAAGCACATACTTAACAAGTTTTAAAAAAACCAACAAGTTTAAAAAAAAAAAATCTTAAGTCTTACCTATGGCTAAAAGATATAAGATTTAAATATTCAAAAGCTCAATGTTTTAACAGTTACCATTCAATTAGGAGCCAATCTCATTATAATACTTTAATTTCACTCTGGATAATATCCTGGACAGAAGATCTTACATGGATTACTTGGTACATCATGAGTTCAAAATGCATAACTGGCTAAAATCAGTACCTTATAAGGTCAAGGCACTACTACATGTATTCAAGCTTGTTTCTCTATGGAAATTTCAAATTAAATTCTACCTTTCTGTTTTGTCCAAATCTGCAGAGCAATCCAGGAATGTTACTATCTGCTTCTCCAGGTAGCTGTCAATTTTTTCTTCAGCCATTGTTGAAAAATTTAAAATATTTTGAGTCACTGAATGGAAGAACACAGCCTCATAACGCCCTTCTAACAGCAACTGTAAGAAGGATCCACTCTCTGTAATATAAAAAATTAGTTCAGTCATCCAAAACAATAATTTTTCATACTGTAAAGGATAACCTTCTAGGTAAATACCACTTTACTATACAAAACATGGTATACAATTAGAATGCTTGCTATACATCAATACCAAAGCACTGAGCAAATCCTTCTCAGGCTACACAAACCACCTTTCCTAGAATTAGAGGCTCGCTTATACCGACCATGAGAAGAAAGGTAAGGTCTCACCAAGAAACAATACTTGTCAATATTGCCCTTCTGCTGGAAAATTCACAAAGACTTTGAAAACAGAAAAATTTCTTTAGCCAAGATCCTAGGGCTTTTCACACTCTGGCTCCTCCTTCCCCTACTGTTCTCGCTCATGAAGAATTTCAAACATGCTAGTTCACTCATTGTTTCCTTTATATCCCCATGCATCAACGCTTCTGCACTTGTGATTTTTCCGGCTGAACTCTTCTCCACTCAGACTTATTCTGAGTCAGAAATTAGCACAAATCTGACCTTCCTTGAAACTTTTCAAGACCACCAGATTTTATACCGCCAGAATTCAAACCTCCTTACACAGCCTATGTTTACACACACACACACACACACACACGCACGCACGCACGCACGCACTGGACGTACATACTGTTATTTCTTCTGGATCCAGCCTTAATCCCACAAGCAGCTGTCCCTATATATCACTAGTAAATGTGCCGTTTAACATTTCCTAGTCAGGTAAATGTGCATTGCTCACAAGAGTTACAACGTTACTGCCTCGTTCCAGCTTTCTCCGCTTACTAGCTATGTGACCCTAAATAACTGACACAGATGTCTTAATCTGCAATACGGGATTAAAAATTGTCTCTACATGGCCATTTTAGGAATTATATCATTGAGTAAATATTAAGGGCTTACAAAAATCACTGGCACTGCCATTGTTATTCTCGAACCTGGGCAGTGAGAAGTTTTGGGTGAAGACGAGCAAGGAGCCTGAGAATTCTGCCCACAAAGTCAAGGGTTCAACAACGCAAAACCTAGATTTGGAAAGGGGATGGGGAGTAGGATTGGAACAGGAAGGGATAAGAATTCTGCGCTGGCATCCCGTGTCCTCACAGCTCCCATGCCAGCCTGAAGGTGCGCCGCTCTCACCTGAGCCAGACGCTCCCTCCTGCTTCCACTGCTGCCGCTCAGCCTCAGTAGAGAAGCCCCTCAGAACTGCCACCTCCGGGGTCCACATCACCCCGCACATCGTTGCAAAGTAAGTTCCTACAAGGGCCACACAAAAGGAAACAAAAAGTGAAATGAGAAGAGTCTAAAGTCGCCGAAGTCTAGGGGCTACAGTTACCGTAAAGGTATCCATAGACATAGAGCCCCATGTGAGGATATGGCCAAAAGGAGGCAGCCATGACAGTAGCGCGGGGCAACCTGGGAAAAATACACAGGCTCCCCGGACCAGCTTCCGCCTAGGCAACCAATCCGAGCCTGGATGCTAAGCATGCTCGGCAGGTGTGCCCCGTGCCAAGGCTCGCAGGGGTTAGTCCTGGGGGCGAGGTCTAGCTCAGTCACACTTCTAGGGGGGCGTTCCGCGAGCCGAGAAAGCAAGGAAGGAGGTGGGAAAGGGCGTCCCACCCGCTGATCCCTGGGATCCAAAGACCGCTCACCGCCGAGGTCTTGGCCTACAGCGATGTACTAGGGCTTATTCGGATGCAAATCTTCTTGACCTGATGTAAATCTCAGTCCTCACACGATAAGTGCACGTGGGTCCTTCCTCACAGTTAAGTGGCACGTTTCCGGGGAGTTTAGTGACTCTCAAGTAGAGTTGGTGAGCCCAGGCCAGAGCCTGGGTCTTTATTTTTTTGGATGAATGAATGCGTGAAAACCTAGCTGGTGCCAGGCGTGGTGGCACACACCTATAATCGGAGCACTCGGGAGGCTGAGGCGGGAACATCGCTGCGAGTTCCAGGCCAGCCTAAACTACATAGCGAGATCCAGTCTCTAAAAACCAAAAAATTTAAAATTTAAAATTAAAAAAGAAACTATCTAGTTTTGACACTGCCACAGTATAAGTCAGAAATCCCGGCCGCTGGGGCAGGGAAGATTGAACGCTGTAGAACAGCGAACCCAAGAGTGGAAAAGAGAAAACTGCAAGGTGACAGACAAATCTACCCCTGGGTGTTGCTGTTGTGCACAGAGCTCTGCAAGGATAACACTGCCCACGCAGAATCCCAGGAGGAACTAAGTATCAGCTCTCTGAAAAAGCCTGCCACAGCGCCCGACTTCAAAGAGGAAGCTCAATAATTCTCTTTAAATTAGTTTTTCGATTGGCGCTTAATTCTTAACCCACTTTCTTCCTCAGCACCCAGAGCCACTCCAGGGTGGATGAGGAATTCAGCTCAACTCAGTCGCTGCCACCAGATGCCAAAAGAAGCCAGGCTTGGCTGGGAGTGGAGAAGGCTGATGCTCTAATGTCCTCGTTCTGAGGAGTGATGAAAGGCTACTTGCCAACGCTGCCTGAACACCCACTGGGTCCACTGATTTCTTGAAGCACAAAAGCCAGATGACTAACCTATTTGATAGATGTTAAAGATGAACATCTGTAGAGACAAACTGAGGCTATACCAGAGTTCCTCCTTTGTAGGTTCTATTGGTCCTCACATGCAACTTGTAAATTTCACAATAATTTGAGGTCTGTTGGTTTGTTTTACATGTGTTATGCTAGGCAATCATAGAGATCAAGTCTATTTATTAAAATTCCTTGGGGCATGGGCCGGGGATTTAGCTCAGTGGTTCCGCCGCCTGCCTCGCAAACGCAGGGACCCGAGTTCAATCCCCAATACCAAAAAAAAAAAAAAAAAGAATTCCTTGGGGCAAAGTGAATCCAATAATAAAGCAGAGGGAGAGGATGGTCTCAATTTAACAAAAAAGATAACTGGATATGGTGGTGCTTGCCTGTAATTCCAGCACTCCAGGGAGACTGAGGCAGGGGGATCAATGTGAGTTTGAGGCCAGCCTGATTATAGTGAGATTGTGTCTCAAAAAAAAGAGGGTTTATTTGGGGGGTGGACCTCAGTGGCAGAGAGCTTGTCTAGCATGTGCAAGGTGCTGGGTACCCATTTAATCCACAGCACTAAAAAAAGTGAGTGACAACTTTGAGCAGCAGGTGAGATGAGATAACACTTTAACATTCAGTGAAGAGTGTCTTGGTGGAGCAGTCTGTGTGGAACCTGGATGTCACTGTCTGTCTTTTGTCTTGGGCTGGTAAGATTGCTCACATGGTCTAATCTCCTGCCTGAGGTGAGGTCTGTCAAAGTTTCAGAGCCAAGTGAGCAGCAAAGCCAGGATCCCAGCATTCAAGGCCCAGTATGAACTGAACCCCTCCAGATCAGGGTAGCTGGGGGGAAGCAGTCAGCCATGGTCCATGTGACTGGTGGGCTGTGCAAGAGGCCTCCTTTGCTTAACCCCGCCTCCTCCTCCACCTAACCCTCAATCCCAGAGGCCTGTGTGCAGCATTCCCAGTTCCCTGTGTGCCAGGGATGTTTCAGTGTAGAACAGAGTTTGCCTTAGCTTTTCTCATTGCCACCCATTCCCACCCCCCCACCCGGTTCCAGAGATTGAACTCAAGACCTTGCACTTGCCAGGCAGGCACCTGAGCTACATCCCTGTCATTGCCTTTTTTGTTTTGTTTTGTTTTGTCATTGCCTTTTTTAAAGATGGAGCTTACTCTAGTCGGCTCAGTCTGATTGCCTGCCTTCCAAACCGTGTTACTCTCCTCTACTCCTTTTCCTTCTGGTCATGTCAAATTTTTTTAACTTTACCATACTTTTAATGAGTTTTGAAAAAAGGAAATTAGATACATGTGTTCAATGTGCCATGTTTACTCAGAAACATACATTGTATTTTATATATGACACCTTTCTCCGTGCACCTTCAGGTTTCGTATATTTATGTACTGGATCTAACTCATCTCTCTCTTTCTTTTTTTTTTTTTCTGAGGTTCTTAGAATTGAATCCAGGGCCTAGAGTACACTAGGTAAGCACCAAACCACTGAGCTATGTCCTCAGCCCTCTCATATCTTTTTTTGGGGGTACCAGGGATTGAACTCAGGACCTTGCGCTTTCGAGGCAGGCAGAGGAACCACTGAGCTACATCCCTGGCCCCCTCTCATATCTTCTTAAGTGGTCAAAGGATGGCAGGCTCTTTCCTTTGTGCAAGTGTAAAAAATTTAGGATTGCAATGAGTGCTTCATGACCTTTCAGTCTCCTTTAATATTACTTAACAAAGCTCATGAAAAAATGATTTCAATGATCACAAAATGATTTATGGATCAAAGACATAATGGATAACATAAGCATAATAGCCTTACATTTCCTTTTGGCCAACTAGGGAAGGATGTGACATTGCTAACATTTCATGCTGCACCCAAATTTATACCATAGGTAAGAGAGAATTATATCTAAGCTAAAAGAAAACACAGTATCTAAAGTAGACCCAGGGAGTCACTGAGTCATGTTTTCTTGATTCATTTTGGAAAATCACGAGTGATGGTGTCAGTGTCTCCCGTCTCGGTGTAGTTGTTTGGTTCATATGTGTTTGCTGTCTGCTGCCCAGAGTCTCCAGTGCTTCCTTGTGGCCACTGTCCTGACAGATGATTCAATAGGTGCTTGAAGACAAAATCAGGATGAATAATGCTGCTCAACTCATACAACAAAAATAAGCTTTCACAGCAAACATTTATGTTAAGAATGGATACCAGTAGGGGCCGGGAATTTAGCTCAGTGGCTCCACCGCCTGCCTCGCAAGCACAAGGACTGGAGTTCGATCCCTGGTACCAAAAAAAAGAATGGATACCAGTGAAAAAATCTGGATGTTTCTTCTCCTTGTTTTCTGGTACTAGGGATTGAACCCAGGACCAACCTACTGAACTACATCTCCAGCACTCCCCTCCTCCCTTTTTGAGATATGGTCTCACAGAGTCACAAAGTTGCCCAGGTTGGGCTTAAACTTGCAATCCTCCTGCATCAGCCTCCCAGAGAACCCAGCTGTAGGGAATCCTTGATAGTCTTTGCTGAAGCTTTGGCTGAATAAAACCAACACTGGGGACTGAAAGTTTTAAAAGTCCCATAAACTGAAACAAATGATTGCTCTGTAGCCATGATAGTGAGTATCCACTAGAAGTAGGTTTTAGATCTGTTCACTTAATGAACAATCTAGCAGAAGTGAACACATTTTTACAAGCCAAGGAACCACTGCCAACTAACTGAGAGTGGTTGGCATAATCACAGCACTTGGGAGGCTGAGGCAGGACCATTGTGAGTTCAAGACCAGCCTGGACTACATAGCGAGACCCTTACAACCGCCGTCCCCCAAAAAAAACAACAAGTCAACCAACCACCACCAGTTCCTTACTTCTCAAAGTTAGCTAGCCAGGGTTAGAGTCACTCAGCCAAAAAGAACTTTAAATGCCAACCTCCACCCGCAACAGCCTGGCACAGGTAACCACGTTTTACAGATGGCAAATGCCTATGGCCCTAAGTCTACCATCACTAGAAACCCATGCCCCCGAAAACCTTATACAAGATTACATTCTGCTGTGCTAGGAAAGACTGTAACAGACCTATAATTTTCCCTTCCTGGGGAGGAGGGATTTGATATACTCAAGAGGCCCCACAGAGAGGACTGGTACGGAGAAGAGGTTTACGAGAATGTGTTCCAAGGTTTTGTGCCCATTCACTGTCAAAAGATGAAGGATTTTTGGGCTGAGGATTTAGCTCAGTGGTTCCGCTGCCTGCCTCGCAAGCGCAAGGACCCTCATTAGATCCCCCGGTACCAAAAAAAAAAAAAGGCACTGAATAAAAAGATGAAGGATTTTTGTCAGGCCTGGCCTAAACCAACAGGACAAAGCAAACAGGCTGCTTTCAGCAAACAACAGCAGCATCTCAGTGAATAGGGCAAATGGACTCGAAGTATACAACTCCCCTGGCACTGAGAAGTCCAGTAATTGCCTATGCACCTGAGCAGAGAGTCCTTGGGCAACCAAGTCATAAACATTTCACCCCAGATTCCTTCGCCCCTTCAATAGCTGTATAAGCCTAATTCCTTTCCCAGTTAGTTGCTAATATCTCTCTCCCCTGGCATTAGCCTATCTGCTCATGGATGAAATCTCTCCCAGCTAGCGGCTACTCTCTCTCTCTCTCTCAGTGTCAGCCCATCCACACACGGATGTGATAAACTCAGCTTTTCCCAGTTAGCTGCTAGAATCTCCTGATTTTAGTCCTTGATTTTAGTCCCTGTTAACTGGAATAAACTTTCATTTCAAAAGCCTATTTTTGACAAGTGGATTATTTATAACAATTTTATTCCTGTGGATGCTGACAGCAGAGATTAACAAAGAGGGGAACTACTGTTTGAGTATACTAGGTAGCTTTACCAAAAAGGTAAAAA